GGAGAATATTTTCTATACCCACTGTATATTGGGAGACTCCCATGGTGAGCTGAATCTGTTGAACCTAATGTTGTGTCTCCATCTTCTCTGACTGTTCAGAGGATAAACAAACATTAACAGTGGCATCATAAGCAGGAAACCATCACAAATAGCACTGCTACAACAGCATACACTATATTATCTCTGACATACAGTAAATAAAAGATTCCAGAGAAAAGATGCAATGTACCTCCACATTATCTACACTTTCAGAACTTGAGGCATCAAATTATACTTGCTGGTCTAGAACACGTCCAACTCCGTCTGATTGCGAGTTCCTGAATCATCACAACAGCGAATCTCTCCAGACAGAGCTGGAGTTATAAACGGGGTAAACGGTATTTGTGTCAGTGTACTGTATGCTCAGAAATTCATAAGCCACTTCAGTACTTCATTATTTAGTGAATCTACACTAGCAGAAAAATGGTCCACAGCCTAATCCGTTCCCTTGAAAACCAACCTTATTAAAAAGTACATCAAAAGCTATTCCTTTCATCTACAGCCGCTATTCTTAGGCTGCACTGAGGCTTGGCTCTGATCCATGCAGCCTCTTGTGCCTGTATATCGTTCGTACGAATCCCTGAGTATCAGGAGTTCACACTTGAGTAGTATTTAAAGATTTTTTATCAACTTGTCTGTATCAGTGGGTGTTAAAATAATCTCTGTTTCACATGACTGTGGCACTGTTAATCCAACAGAGATCTAGGTCTCCGTTCGCCATGAATCAGAGCCGTACCTGCCGGCGTTGATGACAGCGGCATGAGATCCTGAGCAGATGTCCTCCAGGATGAAGAAACTTTCATCACAGGAGGAATTGAGGTGAGTGTAGTTGGGCTTGCAGACAGTCAGGAAGTAGGGGGCGGGGTAACCTGTCGACAACTGAATGATGTCGGTAATCAAAGCCGTGGCGCATAAGCCAAACACATGAACGCCTGAAAGGAAAAAGACATTGAATGTGATACACTAATTACTGATAATTATTGATATTTCTTTTAATATAAGTTGATAACCAATATATTGGCTGATATTATATATCAATTTATGTTTTCTGTGAAAACTTTAAAAGGGAAAACTTGTAAGATTTAAAAAAGAACAAGAAATTAATACTTTTATTCAGCAAGGATGCATTAAATTGATCAAAAGTGACAGTAAAGACATTTATAGTTTTACAAAAAAGTTCTCTTTTAAATAAATGCTCTTTTGAACTTTGTTTATCAAAGAATCCCGGAAAAATGTATCTCAAAAATATTTTCAACATTGACTGTGAAAAGAACCATTATTATAACTGACCACCAATAATGACTGATATTAATTGAACACCAGATCAGCATATTAGAATGATTTCTGAGGGATCATGTAACACTGAAGACTGGAGTAATGATGCTGAAAATTCAGCTTTGCATGAAGAATAAATTATATTTTAAAATATGTAATTTTATGTAAATGTAAATATTAAAATATTATGTAAATATTAGATTTCACAATATTACTGTTTTTACTGTATTTTTAATCAAATAAATGCAGACTTGGTGAGCATAAGAGACATGCTGGTACCGATATGACCACAAATATTTAGCCATTTTATTGCCAGGAATATTTACATACATGTTCTGAGAGCTACACTTTTGTGCAATTTTTTTTGTGCATCTAATGTGTCGTCAAAGGTAGCTGTGTGAACATTCTTCAGAATTTCTCCTTTTGTGTTCAGTGGAAAAACAGCTTTGGAGCAACAAGAGGGTAAGTACTGTACATGGTGACAGAATTAAATTTTTTTGTCTGAACTATCACTTTTATTGCAGATCAGTTTAACAAATTAAATTCATTCCACAGAATTCTGGACCAAAAAAAAAATCAAATTTTTCTGGGGGCCTAAAGGTAACGAAATAAAGGAGTGAAAAAAGGATGCATTAAATTGATCAAAAGTGACAGTAAAGACATTTATAGTGTTACAAAAAAGTTATCTTTTAAATAAATGCTCTTTTGAACTTTGTTTATCAAAGAATCCCGGAAAAATGTATCTCAAAAATATTTTCAACATTGACTGTGAAAAGAACCATTATTATAACTGACCACCAATAATGACTGATATTAATTGAACACCAGATCAGCATATTAGAATGATTTCTGAGGGATCATGTAACACTGAAGACTGGAGTAATGATGCTGAAAATTCAGCTTTGCATGAAGAATAAATTATATTTTAAAATATGTAATTTTATGTAAATGTAAATATTAAAATATTATGTAAATATTAGATTTCACAATATTACTGTTTTTACTGTATTTGTCAGCTTCAGCTCCTCCTCTGCACTGCGCTCGGGACAGACAGCAGAACAGAATCCCCTCTCCGATCATGATCTGTGGACATGCAACACACCAGGTCAGAGGTGGAAGTGGATCAAATGTTCAGGATATCTCTCCTCTCAGATTGCACTCAACGGTCTCATACTAACTCTTCAGGAGGTTCTTTTTACTCTGACACCAAACACAGAAGCTCTGTAGTGAAGCTCCAGATGTCTTTAAACAGAACCGCCATAATGTCCTTGTCTACTTGTAAATGCACAATTTTGATAAGCCATAATGCAATCAGCTCTCACTTGGGCTGAGAGAGCGGTCGTTTTGATCATTGCACACTTATGTATTAATGCCCATCTTAAGCAGCGCTGTCAGTGTGCATCAAAGACACATCCATCCTTAATCTGCTCCAGATCTGTCCCCGGCGTTTCACCTCCCTGTCTTCTGAAAATCACACACCCACTGACTTCTGCACAAACATCAGGGCTGTGAAGTGCTGCTTTCATGTAGATTAATCATTTCAGCTCAAATGGTCACAAGCTTTGTAAAACCTTGTTTGGGTCTTTGGTCCTTCACTTCATACCTTATGTAACCTCCATCACTTAACCACATTGTAGGAGAACGGCATAGTTAGGTCTGAGCATTTTGATTTAAAATGTACTTGAATACTTTATATATAAAATCATTCCTTCCAAAATTATATTTAATTAGTATATAATATAGTCA